TCCTACGTTATTTAATTTTTTTTATACTTAATGCTTGATTATTGCACCTCAAGCTTATTCATTTATAAATTGTGGATCAAAATAAGCGTTAAACGCGCAAATTTTTCCTACTTTTGAACAGTATACGTTCTGAGCGGTGCGAGCAAATAAAAAAAGTTTGAAGTCTGTTTGAAGTAATGTCTAGTTCCTACAGGGCTGACAATAAATCAATGCAAAATTTGTGTAAATTTGGCATGCTCCCAATTGATCAAAACGTTCTTTTGAATTTTACCATCAAATACATAAATAGAAATCATATCTCAAAACGGTTTTATATTTTTTTCCTTAACTTTATTATTTAGAGGATGGTGTCAAAAAATAAATACTCGTCCAGAATAATGCTATAGGGCAATGAATATATATGAATATATAGGCAAATCTGAAATTTAGTTGTGTTTTTCAGCTGCTGATGATGATTCTTTAGTTGTGAATAAAACAGTGCATGTTACTTCTGAAGAAATATTTTCGTAGGCAGGGCCCTACAATAACGGCTCTACGAGACGGAAAGGTCTCAATTGTAAATACATGTTTATACCTTTAGTATTTGTCCGATTTAGGATCTTTCTTTCATTTATTGCTTAATTAGTTTAACTGTCAAATCGTTTTGATATATTTTAGCTTCAAATGAAAGTGACAACGATTGTATTTCTGTCAATTCGAAGAAAAGAACAGCTAAAAATATAAAACCCAGGAGGTCGATTACACAAGTGGGTTGGTATCTCATAAAAAAGATAATAAAAACATAGCTGTTATTTCCATTTCGTAAATTTGTAGGGTTTGATTCCGATGAAGAATGTGATCGCAATCTTAGTGGTCTTGCTGTAAAACGGAAGGCAAAAAGTTAAAAAAATCCTGCAGTTACAAAAAATGGTATGAGAAATGCTAAAAACTAATAGATAACAAAAACCTTAATTTTATTATGGACGATTACAGAAGTCAATGCTTTAGAGAAAGATTTCGCTTCATACATAAAGAGGAAAATATATCCATCAGGCGCTCAAATAAAATCTTTCATGCAGAAGAATAATATGAAACGAACTGTTGCAGTGGTAAAGTCTAAGTTGCAACATTTACTGAAACTTTCGAATAAGAAGTAGAAGTTTTACGATTTTTTTCCAACTTTATATCTAAATATACATTATGAAGTGACAATTTTATTTCAGAATTTCAATATTTTGTGCTCAATGTTTTGTTCAATAAAGTATTCTACAACTGAGTGTAATTTCTTGTTGGTACAATTTCATCATGGTCTCATAATTGGTGGTGGCCAAAATGCAATTTCGGGCTCCAGAACTACTTGCAAAATGATGCGAACTGTATGGATATACATATATAAAAAATCACTCCTTTGTACCATCTGACCTCCGTGCTGATGGCAACATTGTCGGAGGTCATAAAGACGACATAGTATACGGTATATACGTAGATTTCGGAGGTGACAGTTCTATCTGTGCTCTCTATAGATAAGAATTTTAAAATTAAAAATATTTTTCCCTCTCAAGGAATCCGTACTGATTTCAAGACCTCATATATACAATTTTTTAAAATTTAATTCCATGGGAAAACCCGGAGGCCAGGTCGCCTTCGTCGTATACCCGAGGCAACAAGATACGAGACCTGTTTTTGTGATAACAATCTCATTACTCACTTTTGGTCCAGATAACAACTTTAACTCATATTCCTGGATAACAGCTTTAATTTATCCAAAAAGGTCAAACATACATACGCTCAAAACTGGTCTAACTGTATTCAAACATTCTTTTCACAGTCTATAAAACAAAATGATTTGCAATACTCTCCTCGCCAGTTGTTTCTCTCGAGCTAATTCCATCTGGGAATTTCGAAATTTAGTTGTTCCTTAAGTATGGCAAGATGACGATAGGCAATAGTGCTTCTAACCAGAACACCCACGCTCCCACATATTATAAGCTTCTGGAACATAAAGATACAGATACTCATTTTTCTGAAAGAAGTCATCTGAACAAAAGGGTATAGCTTTTCGAACGGCCACAAATAGGTGTAGTTCCTTTGGGGCATTGTTAAGGTGTTTAGTGTAAATGCCTCTAAACACAACGGCTACAAAGGTGACAATATATTTCAGTGATGACCACCCTTCAAGGTGAAACGGTGGATTAATGATCCAGTGGTGTAGAAGTTTCCCTGGCCTATGTTATCAATGATTATACAAACATTTCGAACATTTTGTCTATTTTATCAGCAACTAATCAGTAATTAAATCATAATTTTTACTATTTGGTTATGAAAAAAAGCTGCCAACGTTGAAGGCATTTGTTCTGATGAAAACAGTTATTTCCCGAAACCGGGAAATCGCAAATCTTTACAAAAACTCTCAATTAATGTGTATTTAATTTCAATATCTTTGATGGGTAAACTTTATTGATACTGAATACAAAAATTAACAATAATAGGTGTTCCACTTTAAAACGGTTTTGGTATTCACGAGTTTACACTGCCCTTCCACATTTCAGACAGGAAGACATTTTTCAGAAATGTGGAATTTCGTATAAATTCAGAGTGAGCAGCTGCGAAGAATCGTACCTTTTAAGTCCGATCAAGAGGGCATTAAGTAGTGTTTTTATATATTGTTAAGTGTTTGTACATTGGAATGTATATCCGCCTCACTAAGACCATCTGCTTCAAGTTGATCTGATGTATCCATGGGGGGTAATATTCACCAATTTTAAAATCATGAGATTAAATTGCGATTTTGGCCCTAAACAGAGTGATAACTCTATATGAGCAGAGTTTTCAATTAAGCAACTTCCAAAAGTAAGTTATAATAATGTAAACACTCTTAAGAAGGATATAAAAACTAAAAAAGTATGTCATTACAGTTAAGTATGTATGTTTGTATTGTATTCGTCGCACAAACATCCTTGTAGCGCCTTAATGTTTAATTATTTTTAGAATTTTACTATTGGACAGTGCGATTTCAATAATAAACCTGCAAGTTAAAAAATATGGAACCCAATAATCTAACGACATTCCCATGAGTTTAATCCATAAACAACGTGAAGTGGTTAGAGTAACAAATTGATCAGTTTATACAGGGTGATTCAAAATTGGCGTCATTCCTCTGGAGGTGTTGTCTGGCGCTGTTATAAGAGTACAGAAAAAATAGTAAAA